ATGTCCCGTTCACACGCCGCGCTGTCGGGCCGGCCAACGTCCTAGTTCCTGGGATCGGCCTCCGACGTGCCCTGGGGTCCTGGGGGCAGAACTCGGGCGTCGCGTCGACTGCGGTGCTGCAAGGCCCGATCGGCCACCTCCTGTCCCGCCCCGGGCGGTTCCTGCGTGTTCGTGGCCTTGACCTAGTCCCGCGTGCGCCGACACCGCGGGGATCTAAGAGGGGGAAGGTGAAGGGTGACACAGCTATGCTGTTTTCTCCTACAGATGGTCGGGCATCGCGCATCCATCAATATTTTCCCCCGCCAGTAATAGATGCCCCCCTTGGAAGCGGCGGTCCGAAACGAAAAACTGGGCCGCTGTCTTTTAAAGTTCTGAAGGGATAGCTGTTTACCGCGCTCGGTCATCTTTCGCGTGTCGCTCTATCCTGCTGATCAGTTCAGCAGCTCCTCCACCACTTCTGCCGTTGCGGGGCGGCCGGGCACAGGTTTTAGTGGATATGCATCAACTTCCCAGGCTCCTTTAGGCCTAACGGTCGCGTTTGCTCGGAGGGGGAGTTCCTGGCCATGGCCGGCCTGCCTGCTATCCCCAGCTCGCCGGAAAATTTTACTGATACTGAACGGACAGTATGGAACAGTACAGCGTGTCGAAATGTATGCCCAGACATTACACGCCCAATGAGGCGGCGGTCTTTTCGGTACGTTAGATAGCGTCATGAATGTGTGGATGACCTTAAAGAAGTCAGCACGGAATGGTCCGAAAAAATTAATGATATACACATGTATATATATATAATTATATATCTATATATATATATTATATATATATGTATGTATGTATGTATACGATGGATGTTACGAAAAATAAATGAGATGAAATAGAGATCGAGGGAAAGGGAGAGAGAAAGAAATAAAAGAAAGAGAAGAGAGAGAGAGAAAAACAGAGAAGAGAGAGAGAGAAGAAGAGAGAGAGAGAAGAGGAGAGAGAGAGAGGAGAGAGAGAGAGAGCGAGAGAGACGCAATAGGAACCCCAAACACGTATTTCTATACACTATTTCATAATCATCGATGCGTTCTGACACGTACAGTGTGGAAGTACTGCAGCATCATTAACACGCGCTCGGTGGGGGGTCAAATTGAACCCCTAAAGGTTTTACTAGAATGGTTTCAGGAACTGTCGGCTAGCCGCGCCATAGTTTGCACAGCTGTCGACAATTGAATAGTGGATCGTTTGATGTCAAAAAATTTAGATGTACCTTGTAACATCGATGACCTACGGTATGTTATAGTCAGGGGCCGTGGTTTTCAGCGAAGTCGATTTTTAGGGAATCGTTCAATCCGATGCAACAACGGAGTGTTAGACGAGGCCATAACATCTCTGAGATGCTTTCTTAGGCAACACAACAATTGAATGAATAAATAACATTGCCCTATGGTCAGGCATAATGGTCATACCAAGGTTAAAATCAAACTGGTCTTATTACCCTAGGGCTTGCTGTATGGGATAGTTTCTGGTGCTCATTTCGAATTTTTGGTTACAGGAACCGCATTATACGTCTTCCATGGACTTCTTAGAGGTCAGAATAGGCCATTGACCTGAATTGACCCAGGTCAACATGTTGTTCTCAGGAACATACTGCCCAGTGTAGTGTTGTAGCTTATACAAACACAAAACTCAGAGCAGTCTTGTATGATTTAGGTCACCATGACCCTCAAAAGGTCAAACAAGGTCATTGAACTTAAATGGGAATGTGAAATTTTGCTTAGAAACAGTTATCTAGGATCTGGGGGTACTTTGAAGACAAACCTGGAACTCGACCTTGTTTGACCTTATTTGACCCAAAAGCCATGACTTAGAAACCTGAAATGTCCACATTGAAATTGCCAAAGGTGCGAACATGAGGGGAATCGAACTCATGAGATATTACCTAATCTTGCCAAAAGAAAACACAACATCATCAAATTGTGTTCGAATTGTATAGCAAATACACATCTAACAGCAACATAGTTGTGATGTTGCCAAAGTTACATTCTAACCCAATTATTCTGTCATCACAGTGGGTGATAAGCTTCACTTTTGAAGCTTGATATCTTATCCACATCACAGCAACTCCACCATACGGCCGTTTCATTACTAAACTCCCAGAAATATGCATTGAAGAAATACCAAAAAGACATGAATTTCGAATGCAGGGTATTCAACTCGGGTCGTCTCGAGCCGGGTCCCACTGCATCGGCCCTGACGTCTGCGAGTTTCGCATGCAACACGGCCTCAACTATCCGGGATGTTTACACGTTTGCTGTCTGGTTGTCATCAGCCACCTTCTTAACCTGACTTATTTTCATCTCCATCAGCTGCTGCTTGCGTATTAAGGCACTGACATTGATGCGGCTTTGCGAGAAAATAGATATCGCGAGAAACAGATATTGTTTGCAGCTTTGCGAGGTTTAGGGCTTCAAATCTCGGTGAGGTTCCACTGTCACACTTGATGATTATCTTGACGGCATCATGAATGTTCAGAAACCTTTTATTCTGGCCATGCCTGTTTCCAGCTTTCACGGAGTCACCCCTATGACTGCAAGGCAGTGCCCGTCCCAATTTCCTCCTCGTCGAAGTTTAAGTTATCAGACTAGCGTTTTCTTGGGATATTAAAATATCAACACAACTACCAAGAAAATTCGTTCAAAAAGACAGCTTAGTTAAGGAACATCATACCTATAATTGTTGTAAGGTCATTCTATTTCAGCTTGTTACTTACGAATGCCTTACATCTCGCAAGCACTGTACCATCATAGACTTTTTCTTGGGATAAACTGTCGATCTTGTTTAGTATATAGCATAGCAGCTCGCTAGTTAATAATGATAGCTATGCTGTTCATTTCAGCGGCTGCCATAACATGTTTCACAGCAAAAGGTCACGCTCTTAATCCCAAAAAATTGTGCGCACCTAGCAGGCACGTCGAGAATGGGAATGAAAACGAAATTAACTAAAGGCTGGAAAATGAATTAGCTTTAAACGACAATATGTTCGTGTAAAAAAAGCATTCACATGCCATACGGTACACAACATTATCACTGATAGTCAACTAGTCTTTGACGAGCTTCGTTAGCCCTCCACGGGCACATACACGTCACAATTAACACTAAACTGGGGTGTAAAAACACACGTCCGACCAATTCAAACAGCTTATTTCCTGAGTACAACCAGCCGGACTCAGCCGATGCATGTGACACAAATATATATATATATATATATATATATATATATATTCTGCTCAGAATTCCGGTGCCGTTGCTGCCCCGACCACACTTGCACTGACATACTGAAAAGTATTTTGAATTGTGATGACTAGAGCCCCTGTGACATGGCAAGGCATACAAATGCTAGAACTCAAAGCAACACATTGTGCAGCCGATGGCTTGGGCGGATTTGTGAGCGCTGGGCAACGTGTGACGCGCGCCGCTCCTGACGCCGCCAGGACCCCACATCTCACCGGATCATCGAGAAACGTCGCCGGGACCGCATGAACAACTGCTTGGCGGATCTTTCGCGGCTCGTGCCGTCTTGTCACCAGCGCAAGGGCCGCGGACGCATCGAGAAGACGGAGATCATTGAGCTGGCAACGAAACACATTCGCCACCTGCAGGCGCACAGATGCCCGCGGCCAGGTAAAATGTTCCATTGGGCTGAACAGAGCGTTGCCTGAGCTCGTCCCCTCCCCCGTCGATGGTGCCGCCCTTGTCGCGCTACCAACGGTTCACGCGCTTTGATGCTGCGCTGAATGATAAATCAGCTGTAGCCTTTACCAGCTGCAGTCTTTACCAGCTGCAGTTTTTACCAGCTGCAGCCCTACAGCCTAAATCGGCTACAGTCTTTCGGGTCCTGCCCCCTCCCCGCTCTTACAAAGCAACGCTCTGTTTAGACGGCAACCGAGCGAGCGCGGCTGGCCGGCGCCAGGCAGCCGCCCTCCGCCAGCTGGCCGCGTCCTGCCTGCTGTCTACCTGATATCTCAGTCTTTGCCGTCTGCCTGATCTCTCTCTCTCTGTCTGCCGTTTGGCGATTTCTCAGTGTCTGCCATCTGTCTGATCTGTCCCAGTCCGCAGTCTTTGTGTGCCGCGTGCCGATCTCTCAGTGCCTGCCATCTGTCCGATCTGTCCCAGTCCGCCGTCTTTGTCTGCCGTACGCCGATTTCTCAGTGTCTGTCATCTGTCTGATCTGTCCCAGTCCGCCGTCTTTGTCTGCCGTGTGCCGATCTCTCAGTGTCTGCCATCTGTCTGATCTGTCCCAGTCCGCCGTCTTTGTCTGCCGTGTGCCGATCTCTCAGTGTCTGCCATCTGTCCGACCTGTCCCAGTGCGCCGTCTTTGTCTGCCGTGTGCCGATCTCTCAGTGTCTGCCATCTGTCCGATCTGTTCCAGTCCGCAGTCTTTGTCTGCCGTGTGCCGATCTCTCAGTGTCTGCCATCTGTCCGATCTGTTCCAGTCCGCCGTCTTTGTCTGCCGTGTGCCGATCTCTCGGTGCCTGCCATCTGTCCGACCTGTCCCAGTCCGCTGTCTGCCCGATCCCTTCCAATCCGCCGCCTGTCTAACGTCGCCCCTGTCCGCCGTCTACCCAGCTGAGTGAACGGTCGTGATTGGTGGCTAGTGACAGTTGCAGCCACCGGTGGCTCTGCGACGCGTGGTTGAACTGGGACCCTTTTTCGTCTCTACCGGTTTCGGTGATTGAGGGTTGTTCCGAGTGCCACGGTGCCGCGCTCAGCTGCTTACAATTGCTACCGAAGTACCGTATTACGCCGCCATCTACTACCTGCAAATGAAATTGCATCAACGATGGTAACGTGACTATGTAGAATAATATTATTACCCTGACCATTTCGAGGGATTAGGTCGGAGCAAGAGTTATCTTGGTCCATGATTCACATCGTAATGTTTCAGCTGAAAAATAATGTGGCATTGAATCCCCGCAGAATGCCGTATTTCGATAAAGCGATTATCTTTCTGCAGAAGGGTATGCAACTGATAGCTACCACTTCACCGAAACAGGTGATGTCCTTAATATAGAAATGGCTGTTTTTAGAGTAAGTTTTTTTATTATTTTATGTTTAAGCATGCAAAATACATGAAAGGCGGACGCATCAAAGGACAACTGATGGACCGCTTCCACACGAGATTCCAATCAACTATTTGCGGAGAGAGTTCTGAGAATGGGCTACGTTATTAATGACTGCTAGGCAAGCTTCTTTGCTCTTATATCTGCTCATTATACATGTAAGCTGTCACCATCGTATTCCACCAGAAAAACCAGAAGTCAGCAGCACGTTTTTACCAAATGCACATGTTTTGACTGAATTCATCTTTCAGGTTTTTCCATCGAGTGTTTCCGATTTTTTCTTATCCGTTCTAAGCGGAAAACTGGTGCGTATTTACCGTCATCGCTTTTCGTAACGCTGCGTGATCGAAACAAACTGCATCTGAAGTAAATTTCACCGTGTTTTCGTCTGCGCCCACTAAATCTTTCCAGTTTCATCGATTTATCAGATTTGTAGTTGCATGGCACTGAATGTGGAGGGCAAAATTGAACAATTTCTTATTCGTATTTTTAAGGGGCCTGATTTGCAACGTACGCAGTTTTTTTGCTTTGTAAAATAATTTTTGGCTGTTTTGTATGGAATGCTGACCATTAGGTGTATCTGTGCACGGTTACGTGGAAATTCGTTTTATATTACAGTCCAGATATCACTCCTTGGCTCGCACGGATGATTTTAGAGCTAGTCGTGAACGCCGCATCGTAAAGGATGAAATTTCACCTAAATCTGAGAGATGATGACGCTCGCTTGTGGTCAATGTCCGTTGAATATCCCAGGAGCAGAGGGCAGGAATAAAAGTTCAAATCGTTGTCATCTTGGTTGAGGTCATCCCGTGCATAGGGGCTGTGGTTTACCTTCTCTTTGTGGAGGATGGAAAGGATCATCCTGTTTATCTTCTGACAGCGGCTGCACGTGTTCCAAAAAGCCTTTTGATGTAGCCCTCGCTCACATTGGTGGTAATCCTCGCCAGCACGCCCAGTAAGACATGGCATACTGCTTGGCATCAGCTTCCCATTTTGTCCCAGAGCTAGTTACCAGCGCACAGCTGGTGCATGCTGTGGAATCTGAGGTCCGTTAATGCCATCGAATCAGGTCAGTTACTCTTTTAGTCAGATAATGCCGTTCTAGGTCAAATGAATCTGAATGTTTAAGCGTGATTATGTTCGTATGCCGCGAATTCCCTTGATTCCAACCGAAACTTTGAAAGCGGTGTAGGTACAATGGCGTATTCTGCATCGGATACAGTGATTATGCAAATTACGTCACCGATCTAAAGCACCAGATTGGGGGTAGGGAGAGTGCTGTTGGCTTGCACTCGTTGGCCCTCGGTTGTAATTCCACTTGCGCAACGGCCCCGGGCCGTAATATTACCTCGCAGTCGACGGTGCTGCATAAACGAGTGCGTGATGACGTGCGTTGCTCTCCATTTTTAAATACATCACCACGTCTTCCTAACACCAGACTTTTCGACTTATGCTGTTAATCCTCGCCTAACGAGTGTTTTCTCACCTTCATCCTCAAAAGGGCGTCAGGCAAAAGGCCTCATTTAGTATCTTAAACACGAAAGAAACTGGAGTCCTACATCAGTTGGCTTTGGAAAACTCTTGTTAAACTGTATGAATTCAGTCTGACTGATCAATGGTGAAAATGACCTTTCACGAGTCAAATCAGGCCATAAGGTTCAAAGAAGTATTTGATAGCCCTCTCTTGTCATGTCAGGTCATGTCAGCCTGCTACGACAATGCGGAAAACGGCGTGGAATAGGAAAACTATCGCTGGGAAGAGCGCAGGGATGTTTGCATCAGAAAGGCATTAACGGACAGTAGATATCCACACGCGTGGCCTGTGATATGTCATGTGGGGTTTAAGGAGGCCGGCTGTCGGTGCCTCGGCCCTCCGATTTGACCGAGAACTAAATAAGTCATATCAACGTGAACAACAGCGTTCCAGAGCTGCATGATTGGGCCACTAAAGTTTAAATGACGTGTGTTTCTAAGGCTTAGCTCTGGTCGCAAAGATTAAAGTCTAGCCTGGCTTGAGTTTGAATGACTCACATTCGATGAACAGTCAGAACATAAGTGTTGTAGCTAAGAATGATCAAGTTTTTGTGCAGTTGGGATTACATGCTTTACACATGTTGTGAAGCTTCGAAGTTTTGGGCCCACACGGTGTATTATCTGCAACATTGCATCGATGTCACTTTTGTGACATTGGCAGTGTGACCGGAAGTGGCAACAACGCTTTTTTTCGCAGGAAATGGTCTCTTGTAAGGTTTGCTAGCCTGATTTTCTTGAATGTATCCCTCTGAACGGTATTACAATAGTTTTTTGTAGCTCCAACCTGGTCAGATCATCCAAATTTAAGCTATTGCAAATGTTCACAGTTATGGTCAGATTCGGCATTAACAAGGTTTTATTATATTACATCTTTGTCACAGTTTTGAGAGGCCTTTATTAAACTATTTTTCCCCACTGACGTGATTTTTTTAGTCATGATGTAGCCTTACAGCCAATGGAACCACAGCCTTCATTTTTCTGACCTCTGACCTCTGAGATGTATGTCATGTCACAGCTGTCGACATCCACTAGTGTGCATCCGATATATGCTGGCCAGGGCTATGTAACGTGGTTTTCCACGTTGGCGTAGCTGGCTTAATGCATGAGATAACAGGAGCGGGGTCTTAATATTGAGCTAATTTGACCCCTATGATGAAATTAGAGATCGCACGCATTAGTTCTCCGTTTAGGAAAAAAACGCTCGTAGAACGATGATGAAGTATTACTCACAGACCAGGCAATACTGCAGGGAATGTGTGTTAACCCATAGGCCTTGCCTAGCGAGGGCACCACAGGCGAACATAAGCCCAGTGTCCATCCCTGCATCATATTGCAACCCACGATCGTCATATACCCGACTGTGCCTCTAAAGGACACACCCAGCGTGTAGTAGGCACAACAGACGCACGCTTCCAGCGTGTCTCCCGAGTGCGGGCGGCATACGGTCCTGCCGGCATCCTATGAGCGGCAGCATGCGCCAATGCCTTCCGGGTCCGGGCGGCCGCCATTCAGCGCCGTCCGCCGGCGGCCGGCCGTCTTCCGTATTGATTGTCAGTGTGGCCGCGATGCCAAGACGCACCGACACGTCGGTGTGTTGGGACGGACGCGCTCGGCGTTGCACGCCGCGCCGCACGTGACGAGGGGCATTCTCTCGCCATGCCAGTTAGCGGCCGTTGGGCCGTGTCACGTGCGCCCCGCTTCGTCTGCTGTACCGACACGCGACCAGGGGCACTTTCGCCTCGCCTCACGTGCGCGGCGCCCCGGCTGCTGCGCCGACACGTGACGGAGGAAGGGGCGGGGCACTCTTGCCTGGCTAGTCCTAGGCGGGCGCGGTGCGTCACGTGCGCCCCGCTCCTGCGCTACTCAGAGGAGTCTACCGGCGTCCAAGAGCCCGGCCCAGGGTTAGGTGTGGTCCCAGCACCTTGCCTTTCGGCCCAGGTCATGCGCGCCTCGCTCTGGGAGCCAGATCGTGGGCGTTGATCGTTAACGCCAGTCCGAAACTGAACAGCATCTTTTACCCGCAAGGTT